TAAATGTCATATAGAATGACTTAGGCCTTTTTTCCCCCTACCTTTATTCCATACAATTAAGAACTTAGATTCCCAATTTAGATTTTAAAAAGGAACTAATTTTCAGAGAACATAGTCCTGGCAGCTCTTGTGTTCCTTTCTGAATACAGGTATTGCCACACTGGTGAATATCTAGCTCTATCTCCAGCATTGTCTGCCTATGCCAGCAGCTTCAGAGGAAGTTGCAAAAGACTCTCTAATGTCTGACTAATTAATTTCACCCAGTAGAATAGTTTTATCTGAATTCTCCTCCTTGTTACTAGGAATAGCAAATCCTTCTCAGAATAAAGCTGAACTCCAGGTTTCAATAATACTACATGTCAGAGGGCACCAGTGGTTAACGAGACAAGATTTTGAAATGTTCTTTATTTTGTCTTCTTATCTTTATTACAAACATATTTCTTACCTTCCAGTAACACTAGACTTCCTAGTGAAACAGAAAAAGGTATCATTATCTGTATCATTTTTACTAATTTACAAAGCCTTACTATTTCCTCTATTCATCTCTTTTCCTGTCTGTGCAGTACAGCTCACTGAAATCTCTCTCCTCTCTGCCCCAATTAATGTATTGATTTGTCATTGCACTTCCTCTGTTTCCACTGGATAGCTTGAAGGATGGGTGCCTAAAACTGAGCAGTGTTCCAAAAGGATAATATGGATATTTTCAGAATTTGTTTTCTGCTATGCATTACGTTATAGTTGAGGTTACTGAGGGACTTTTCTCTAACTGCTTGTATTTCTGTTCACAAGACTGCAGTCTTGGAGTCCTGACAATTCCTTTCTGTGTGCATTAATTTACATTTACCAATTGAACAGTGAACCTAAACTCTCTCCCTGATTTTACCTTCAGGGTATAACCTAGATCTGCTCAGTCTTTGCTATCTTTCAGTAATATATGCCTGTTTTGACTGGAAAAAGTACAAGAAGCCATATACATCTATACTTGCACGACTACTCATGGCCCTTACATAACCACATATAAAAGTCAAAGTCCAATGCTTTTGCTTTTTTGATCTTCAAGTCAAGTTCTTCAGCTTTTTGAAAATTATGCCAAGTTTTAATTTTCAAGGGAACCTATGTAAAACAAAGAACAATATAAAATGCGAAGTAGACATGACAGAGTAATTTTGTGAAGATTCAGCCAAGCCATGATCCTCTTTTTCTTACTTGGTTTTGTAAATTTCAGGTTTTATAGAACCAGCTCATTTCTCCACTCCTGTGTTTCTTTCCTGTCCCTTTGGCAATCTGTCTCCAGCAGGACAGTACAGGCAGTTTCCTTGCATGTGCCAAGACTCTCTGGCTAGCTTTAAACAAAACAAGTCAAAGATCCTGGTGGGGCCTGAGGCCAAGGACATGACACTGCCCATGTCCTTGTATCTCACCTTTCTTCTTCCCAGCACAAACTGGTGATGCCCAAACTGCCATTTGGGAGCAGTCTCAAGCACAGCTGTCCCGAGCACTGTCCCTGGGAAGTCTCTGGGGGCTGCTGGTTGGCAGGAGCCAGCACTATGCCAGGGAGAGTGCTAACAGACCATGCCTATAGTCACATCCCAGTGTTTCAGCCAGGGTCCCAAGCCTATTTCCTGGCATAAATGAAGACCAAATGCCTGAACAAGCAACACAAAGGAAAAGAAGACTGGTTCTCACTTTTCTTCTTTTGAGTGAGTTTAAATTACAACGGAAGAAAAGAAAAGTCATGACAGCAGATCCCTCTCCTACTGAAATGCCAGGTTAGGAAACAGGGCTGGAGTCTCTGATGCATGCAATTCACCCTTGAGGCAGGAGGAAACCTTTTCATCTTCCGACTGTAGTTTCAGTCCCTGGATGGCGTAACCCTTGACATAGCTTCCAGAAGCTGGGAAGCTGCTCTGTTTTCTGCTGCAAGCTGCCATGATAGCCCTGGGTCTGGCAGAGCAGCTCTGTCACGCCTCTATACCATAAGGGATTGTCCTGGAAGTGGGAGAGTCCTTGGCTGCCCTTCTGGGTCGCTTTTTCCCTGCTGTGTCTCAGTAGTGCAGGATAAGCAGAATAAGAGCAGCAGGCTCAGCTGCTGGGTTTTTTCTCATATGACGAAGTGAGGGCTGGATGACAAAACTAGAGAGGGTTACTTTGTAAAATATCACTAAGCCATTAAACTGCATACTTACTAAAGAGCAGAGCAGCAGGCTCAGCTGCTGGGTTTTTTTTCATATGACGAAGTGAGGGCTGGATGGCAAAACTAGAGAGGGTTACTTTGTAAAGTATCACTAAGCCATTAAACCACATACTTACTAAAGAGTGAGACCTTTATATTAGCTAAACACCTTGGCTTGTGTGATAGGAGGAAAAGTATTGCTTACATTAAAATTTTACTTTATTCTGAAAGCTGCCAGCCACAAATTTTGAGGTGTGGCAGGGTATACATGATTATCTTTTTTTATGCAAGGGATGTCATGAGTGATAATCAAAAGGTTCCTTCTTACCTTAAAGATCACGTTCCAAGAGCACATGAAAGTTAATTCCTTGGTCCCAGCAGCTTGAATCAGAATACCAGAGGTATGTACCTAAATTCTGGAAAATGAGGAGCTTCCTAAAAAGAGTGTGGAGCTATTCTGAGTGAGGCAAGAGAAAGTACTAAGTACAGGAGTAGACCCCAAGATACCCCTCCCCTCTAGAGTTCATGCACTTCCCCTCTAAAAAGCAGCCACGTGAAATCCCATCTTGAGGGTGTACATGTTTTCCCAAGGCAATTGTACCAGTAACTAGCACTTGCTCAAAAAGGAGATATGGGAGATTCAGACATAAAGGCAGGTGTCCTGACCGTGGTGGTAAGGTATTCTGGGTGCAGAATAACAGTGGGGGCTGTGCCACTGTGTGACTGGGAATGTGGGAGTCTCGCCACCAGAAGGAGAATCCAGGTTGCTGGAGGTATCACTTAGTGCTGTCTCTGAATTGCTGCAGAACAGAAGATGGAGCTGCAGATACGAGAGTGCCTACACTTGTTTACACTCGAGAAACATTGCAGTACAAATGCAGGCACTGTATGTGTTTAGGCATCTCCCAGGTTGGGTAATTGCTGCCAACATCAGTTTTTTTGATTGCTTTGTTGAACTTAGACACTTATGTTCTGCCTAAGTAAAATTCTTTTTTAGTCTTTGTTTGCTCTTGCCCAAAATCAATTAACTTGCAGCTCCACAGGGTTTGATTTTCTAATCCAATCATGCTTAATCATTGATGTAAAACAAGATTTTTTTCTCCCCTCAGATTCTTTTCTAATGGCTTCTTATTTCTTGTCCTCTAAGTGTGCACCTGAATTCTCTGCAGCTATTTATAAGGGCTTTCCCGCTTCCAGGAGTGTTCCATCAAAGAGATGGCTATCAGCAGGTGGTTAGCATCAAATGTCAGCAGCTACTTCGTTTCTGACATCTCTTGAAAAAAATGTTTCGTTACCATGCAAATGATGTTAGCCTTCCTTTCAAAGATCCATTGTCACACAGTGTAACATATGGTACACAGAATTGTGCTCCCAAGATTTATGCGGCAACTACATTTTGTAGAAGAACAACAATTGTGAGAGCTACACCATCAGATGAGTCATCACTGTTTCCCAATGAGCTGGTGAATATTTCTGTATCTCATGGTTACTCTAACTTTGGGGGAGGGGAGAGGGGCTTATTTCTGCTTTCTTTTAAACTCTTCCATTTTTCTTTAGCTTGTATCAGAAATATCATGGTGCCTGTCATAGCCTATGCCAGACAGAATAGCCCAGCAGCTTTAATGGGTGCTGTTATCTTTCTTGAGTATGTCTGGGAAGCGAATTATTCAGTTGATACTTGGAGTGGCAATGCCTTGAACTACACAAAGAAAATTGAAGCTGCTGGCCTTTCTTGGGAATTTTTGAAATTGCCAATAATGGTAGTAGGAACGCAACTTTTCCAAGGGCCCTGAAACCCTGTAAGCAGAATAGGATAAACCTATGAGGTGTTTGATTCATCAGAGCACTGGAGTACAGTTCAGTGACTTCAGCAGGGCTTCAGGATGTGTTTAGAGTTAAGCATATGTTTGGGTGAATTGTTAATCTCAAGTGTGTGATCAAGTGCTTTGCTGACTCAGGGACGAGACATTCCTTACAGCTTGTTGTTTTCCACTTTGCCATCTGGGAAGAGGCAGCTTGACAGCACGTGGGCTGTGTGAGACATTACTGCATTTCTGAAAGGGTATTAACAGCCTTGAAGTTTCCAGGTTGTCTGAATCAGGAATTTTTGTCTCTGCAGAACTAACTGGGGTAGAACAACCTCACTGTAGTGTTTGAAAGCAAACTGACCATGTCACAGCATTTGCTAGGTTATCAGTCAACCTATGCCTAACTAAAATAATCTCATGTTTTAGTGGAACTACTAAAGATGCAGGTAGAAAGCTTTACGGAACCTGCAGGTTTGGGGGCGTGAAATTGCCCCTTTTGGATATTTTAGGAAGTCTCTTTTGCACCTGGACAACTGTAAGAACCCAAATTTGCAAACACTTTTAATTACAGAGTCATCCCTTCACTACACCCATTTTCTGAGCTGGGGGAGCACCTCCGTGTTTACATGAAAAAATGTTGTTACAAGCTGTTAAGTCAACTCATCCTCATGCTGCAGCCACGTAGTGCAAAAGAGTGGGTAATACAGACATGTTACTGCATTTGTGGGAGAAGTGCAAGCTATCTTGATCCCTTGGTATTCTCCAAATGATTTTAACTTCCCAAAAGTACTAGGGGTTCACCTGAAAAATCTCCCATATCACTCCCCCATCTGGTTAGCACACACCCCTCCTTCTCTAATCCGATACCCTTCCAGTCTGCCATGTAACACTCTTGACCTCAAAACCATTTCTGTTGTGCTGCTTTGTATTTTTGATGAATGCTTACAGAAGAATAAATGTTTATTGTAATAAAATGCATTTCTCTGTAGGAAGTCATCTCTTTTTTTATTCTTTTCCAGTGACAAAATGTTCCCAGCCTTTGGATTTGGAGCAAGGATACCCCCAGAATACAAAGTAGGTGCATAAATGACATTTTCTAGTTTCCTTAGTTTATGAGGCACAAAATAAGGGAGAAATGGTTCAGTGCAGGGCAGGGGCTAGGGGGAGCAGCTCCTACTGCTTGGTTTCTTTCATCTGGCTTTCTCACCCAGTGATACTTCACTGAAGCCAGAAATCAAGGCTAGACTTAAAATAGTTGTGTTACACCCAAAATATTTCATGGTATTGGCAAAGCTTTGTTAATGGATACTAGTCTAGTAAGAGGAGAACTGATTTTTTGAACAACACTTGCCAAGCATATTTGGAAGCTTTGCAAACCCTGGTTTGACAGAACCCATTTTTGGAAGATGTGGTTCAGTGAGCGGCCTAGTGTCCATGCTTTATGATGAAGAGATTTGACATCTTCCTGAAAATGAAGACTTTAGGAGAGTTTTGCTTTGTTGTGGTGGACATTGTCAATACCAGGAAGAGAAATATAAGAGCATGTATCCATGCTGGAGAGAAGTGGTATTTATAAACAAAGCAAAATGAGAGTGATCCACAGTGATGGTGCAATTGTGAGCATTAATATGCAGTCTGGTAGGGCTGGAGTGAAGACAGTGGAGTAAAAGAAGGAGCATCCAACAGAGAAAGGCCTAAGAAGAAATAGGCAGAAGTTCAAATCCTGCATACATGCAGAGGGAGTGTGGGCAAAGAGTAGTTCTGCACAAATAACTAACCAAAAACTAGCTGGGGATTCCGCAACTCAGATACTATCTGGAAAAGAACAGCATTAGATGTCTGATCATGCAGACTTCATCCAGTATCCCCGTGTCCTCTGCTCTGGGTTGTATCTCTCAGCTGTGGCTGGGGTAGGGAGGTGAACACTGGCCAGGTGAGAATTTCTGTGCAGAGAGGGATCGTGTGTCACTCAGCATTGTAAAGCATGAACCAGCAGATGAAAAAAATGTACCAATGTGTTCCTCATGGCTTGTAGGTTTGATACCTACATAAGAATAACAGTAGTGATGTACAGCAAATTTGATACATGTCTTGCAAACGGGTGTCTAAGGTAAGTCAATGTATGTCTTAACAACGTTGCCTTCTAAGCTAAAAAGCACTCTTATAAAAAAGAGGACTGTGCCTGACAAGGTGTTTTGCAGTGCTCTGTTCCTGAAAAGTAACACCAGTGTTAATGCTTTCCAAAATCAGAGACAGCTTGCAGAACTTTGATACAGATTTTAATGTGGTAAATGCGCACAGAACATCTGTGTCTGTTGTATATCTGTTCCAACTGCACCAGCTGAGAACCATCTCTGCTATGTAAGGGGGAGTGTTTTGAAGCAGCCTCTACCACCAGACACATTAGTGAAACACAGTAGCTACTTCTCAAATGTCTATCCCTCTGCCACGAATATGTGCCTCCCTACCCATGGCTGTATAGCAGTGTTGGCTGGGTGAGTTGGACTATACATTGCAACCAGATCGCTCTTTCAAGCCCAGTACTGGCCATCACTGACAATGCCATGTACTATTGTGATTGTCCTAAACAAAGGTACCAGCCTGGTGGTGTGCTAGGGGCCGGTTGTTCCATCATCTGCGAGATGACCATCATTGCATGGGGGAAAACTTGCAATTCTTTCAGCTGCAGAGAGCCATCCTTATCTAAGGACTGCTTGAAGGAAGATGTTACTGTGCTGGCTGAAGTTTTTTCACTGGTTTGCTGGTGATGGCAGTAGAGTAAAACTCACAGCACAAGACTGCTTCTTTCCCAACCGAAATAATCAGCCGGTGGCATTGATGCCTCAGGTCACATGAGCATATTGGCAACGTACCAGTTTTGTTAGCACCCAGCAACAGCCTCTTCACCTGACCGTGGGAGCATATCTCAGGGGTCAGCTGAAAAACACATGTCTTGCCAGAAAGTGATTTCAGGGGGACTTTGTAACCAGATATTCTGACAGTCACCAACACCAATTGATTTTCTGCTTTGGCAGAACTGTTGTTTGGATAATTTCCTGACAAGTGCTCTTAAGAAAGTCAGAGACTTGCATTGAACTTAGTAGCCGATGCATGGATGAAGGGTCTTGCCCAATAGCATGAGCTGCCCTGAAGAGTCTGTATGTTACTAACCTCTCAAAGCAAAAAAATAGATGAATCAGGACCTTCAGATTTTGAGAAGTTCAGGAAAAGTAAGGGTAAACTTAAGAAGATGGGGCTACTTGCTTGTGGATTACATATCTGTGAGTAAACAAAACAAGTTGCAAAGTAAATGGAGATGCAAGTGAGGGCCAGAACAACATCTTTAATCTCCACTATGGAAAATTGTGACAGAAAATGACAAAGACAAAATGACATTACATCAGTTTACCAATGTAATAAAACTTTGAAGAAGATAAGAACCACATTGCGGGGGGCTAGCCCTTCTGTGCAACAGATGGGGACAAATACTTAGCTTGGTGTCTATCATGGGCACATCCAACTGGAACTGGATTAGGAATTAACAGTCATCTGTGCTATTGTTCAGTCCCTCCCTGTGATACTCTACACAGTCCATACAAGTATCTGTCTTTTTAAAATAAACTGCATCAACACTTTTGAGTCCCTGCTTGGCTTTGGCTGCACTTCTAAATTGAAAGATACACCCTCTAAGAGAGTGAAGAGTCAGCCTCATCATGATGCATTAATAAGTCAAGACAAATAAACCTGAAAATCCTTCAGTAATTTAGTCTACACTGGTATCATAAAGTTAATTTAAAGGCAACAATTACTAGTGTTTGATGTGGAACATAGCCAAGATGCATAGGAAACAGAGTAGAAACTCATATAATTAAAAGTAACAAAGACTGTAAAAAAAGTGCTCGCAACTTGTCTCTCTCGTAACTTATCTTCTGCCACAAAAATATGGTAACACTAGACACCACAGCAACACTGCAGGTCTCGTGCTATTCAAATGTTCTTCTGATGTTTTCAGTCAAAGGTATTACAAGTCATACATATCTTTTGTTTTATTAAAGGACAGCAGTGTCATAACTGTAATAATTCACATCTTCAAATTTAGGCTGGATCATTTTGAGAACTTCTAAGTTCTGACCCCATCATTGGGTAAATCAGCTTTTCATTTTAATTTAGAGGGTCTGCTTTCGAGCCTCCAGTCCTAATAAGATGATTTAACCTGCTCATAGAACATTGGTCTCTGCACACCAGCAGCTGCTCTTTTATTTCTTCCAGTAGACAACAGATTGCTAGGGCTGTGGAAGAAATGACTCCCACTGCCAAGGGTTTCTAAGTAACGATGAAAGCCTCCACACAACTTAAACAACATAGCTTCCCTAAAAGTCTGAGTGAAAGCTGACCAACGTATGCATGGCAGTAACACAGTGAGGGAAGGCCAAAGGTAAGCAGCCTGATAAAAACAGTAGGCAAAGTAAGTGGATCAAGTGGATTCAGATCTAATTTATGTCATGCTCGGTCTCAAGCTGTAGAAAAATGAGGCCTGTAACTCACTGTTCAGCATGAATCAATGCTAACAATGCTATTTAGGATCAGCTGAAAGCCACTGCTTTCAGGCTGGCCATAAGCTCTAAATTTTTTTGCCAAGGACTCCTTGGCACACTAGACCACATGGGAGAAAGGTGTCCATTTGCAGTGTTGTCAAACCAGTCCCTTGGTTTCATACTGTCTTGAGCTCCTGCCAATACCCTGGGATGGGTGCTGGAGGGCAGTATCCACCTGTCCATTTAATGAGATTCTAGCCTCCTCACATCCTTTTACATGCTACAAGAAAAGCAATGTTTGCTATGCCAACTATTATTCCCCATGGAAAAATCCCCGCCCCCATTTTACACTAGCACTTCAGTACAATGTCAGTATCCACCTCTGCAGGCTCTTTATGAATCTCTTGAGGTTTAACCCCTTTAAAAACATGTTTTCATATATGCTTTCTACAGAATTTCCATTTCAAGAGCACACCGCTATGTTATGCTGACTTTATTTTCCCTCATTTCAGCTCCAAATGAAACACCAGTTTCTTAGTGGCATAAGGAATCTGTGGGAGTGAAGGAAGCAAGACATGCTATATATAACATTTCTGATCAGTCTAGAGATCTTTCATCTAATATTCGGCAATATGATTTTTTTCCCCAAGGCCTGACAAATACATCACCCTGCTCCTTGATCTATGCAAACCTCTGAGAGCAATATTCCTCTCTTGAGTTTCTGTCACACAAAACTTGCAGAACATGCCAGTTATTCCACAATAGTGTCTCCAACCCATCACTTTTTTTTTTTTTGCAATGCGAAGTATCTGAGAAGTCTGATGTAAAGTGAAGAGGTGGCAGATAATATGGACTCAGACATTGCTGCAAAAGGTCACAGTGAAGAGGAGGAAAGAAAGCTGAACGACACACACTAATTTCTTAGCAGGCAGAACTCAAAGGAGCTGAAAAACCACACAGCAGCGCAAAACTTACTGTTAAAATGAAAAGAAAGTTAAAACTGTGTCAGCCCCATGAGAAGCGTATTGCCAGTAATGAAGTGTTCTTTCCTAAAGAATTGCAGGCTGACACCTGAATAGGTAGGAAACAACTTGCAGTTTGTTTTAAGACAGTCCTGGTTATTTCTGCATTTTTAATGAAAGCTTCATTCACTGCTTATGCTGAGAAGAGTTGCTGGAGAGAACCTCACTGCAGTTACAGAAACAGTACAGCATCTTTACGACCCTAACCTGCACTGTCTGGTTTGCTGGACAGGCAAGGGCCTTGAAAAGTGCTGTGATCTTTGTGGTTCCTGCACTTTTCAGGAGCTTGAGGGCAAAAATATATGCAAACCTGACAAGAAAAGAACCAATAGAAGGATGTGTAATGGCCCAAGGGAAAAAACAGAATTTGTCACCTTATCCATGCAACTTGGATTTAGATGTGGAAACTGGGCAGCATTCTCAAAAATCAAGTACAATAGAAAATAAATGGCCAAGCTTTGCCAAGCAGAAATATCTATAATGTGATCTTAGCCAGAGACACAAGCTGTCCAGCTCCCAAACTATTTGATTAATGAGCATTCTGAAAATAATAGCTTTCGAGCAATGGTTCTTTAAATTTGTTAATGTCTTAAGCTTTTGCAAAATATGCTGGCATTTCGTATTTAATTTTCAGACTGGCAGTGGCTTAATAGTGTTCAATTTATTCACAGATAAGTGCTCAACATTGTGCATCTCGGCATTTACGCTTTTATGCATCTATTGTTCATGGATTTTTGACAATCTCTATTTAAATTAGTAAGAAAGCATTCCTAAACATGGCTGAATTTGTCAGATTGTTTGTCAAGTGGTTCCAGTATCATCACCATAGAGGTTTCTGGAAAGCTGAAGCTTGGGACAGGGAGGTTAATTTAAATGAATTCAACAATCTAGAGAGGGAAAAAAAGATTACCAATTTTCAGAACTTAGGCATCCATATTCAGCATTCGCAGAATGAATGAAAAACGTCATGTGCCTGAACTCCCTGCTGGTTTGGACCCTCTTGAATTCTGGGCACCACAGGGGAGATGGCACAGGGACAGGCTGAAGCACAGCTGGTTTTATTCACCTGAGTGGGGAATGAGTTCTGAGCATTTGGACAAACTCTGCTTTAAAAATATCTGCTGTTGGCTTGCCTTGGGTGATGATTTCCTGTTTGTGAACCATCACTGAGCTGCTCAAAGAACTTCTTTCCTTCACATTATACTTTAGTCTTGTTTAAATTGTGATATATTGTTCAGAGAGCATAGGAAACAACCAGATACATCTGCATTCATTGTGTTTCCTGTCCTGCCTTCAGGATAAATTTTAATGCTGTTCTTGGTGAATTAGGATGGCAATGTATGAGGGCCACTTGCTTTGGGAGAATAGCAGCCATTGCTCAGACAGTAATATTTTTTGGATCATTGTGCACACTTACTAGACTTGGGATTTCCTTATTGGCCTGAACTGTTGTCTACGTTTTTCTTTAAAAAAAGAAAAAAAGCCTGGGTGCCATAGCTCTGAACCAGGTAAATTGTACAGTGTGATCCTGAAGAGCTATAGCAACAAAAGCATCCAGGCCATGCTTGCATGTGAGATTAAAATACTGTATTCATAGCTCTGGAAAAGGATTGTGATACTCCTTTTGCTATAATTTCAAACGCATTTGGAATAAATAAATAAAATCACTGAAGAGGCACAGTGTTGGAAGAATCAGCCTGCAATACATAAACATGCATCACCATCCTTCTTGCTTTTGAGATGCAGTTAGTACAAAATACAGAAAGCCTAAAGGAAGAAGAAAGGCTCTTGAACAACAAAAAAATCATCAGTGAGTGAAAACTCACATAACCGTTCTTGACAGCTGCAATTACCTTTGGCCTGCAGCTGGTCATGAGACTGGCAGATACCAGCTGGGCAAAGTGTGCCAAGAGACGTACAGAGCAGCTAGACAGAAGGGCTCTGGAGCACCTCTGAAGCATATCTGACAGCCCTGCTCTTCTGTGGCTGCTCAGAGAGGAACATACGTCATGACTTTCTGCATTATCTTCCATACCTGAGCAGGGTAGCCTGAATGGCCCACGTAAAACCCTTTGTAAGAGGCAATTGATGCTTGATGTAGACATAGCAAACTCCTGGCTGGGCTGAACTGGCTGCAGACCCTTCAGTGAGTTTTTGCTTCAGTCCTTTCCCATCATGCTAGACATCCTGCTTTATTTAACCTCTTAATAAGTAATGGTAGGCATCACTGTGGTGAGGAAGGCCTGCATATGATGGGGAAATTCGATTTCTCTATGAGAAGCTCTCTTTGACAGTAATTAGCCAACTTATACCACTTTGCTTTTACAGAAGCTTCTCTGTAATCACATATTTGATCTATTGGTCTATTAGTCATGGACCAATTTCTGTGCTGTGAAGTCATCTAAACTAGCAAATAAAACAGCGACATCCAACAAACAAATCTCCTTCTGCAAATAATCCAGGTTCCATTGTACAGGGGGTAAACAGGTTGCTTTCCATATGACTAGGACTGTTGGCACTTCTGAAGGTCCTACAGAGATTTATAAAGTCTCAAAGGTGTGTAATTAAGAGTTAGCTGTATAAATGCCTTCATGCATCTGAGATGATATACCTACATTTAACTTTGAATTATGCAAATCGCCTGCTTAACTCTCAGCCATATACACTTTTTGCAAACCAAAATGTATATACGTATATGTTGTGCATTGCAAGACAAAAGTTCAAGACAACTGAAGACCAATAGGAGAATTAAGAGACTGAGCTGAAGAGCTGAAGAGACTAAAAGGAGTCAAGCCTTCTCAGTGATCGAAGAAAAGAGCAAAAAGGAATCTGGAAAAAATGCAGGCAAGAACAAACCTTGAAAGAGCAAAACCAGAAAAGAGCATCTGAAGAAAGTTTCAGTCCCAACAGATTTGTGCTGTGGATGCAGATCTCTAAGTGACGGGCAGATAGAGGAAGCCTGGAACCTGAGACTTACCTTGCCTTGCATTATTTGCACATACAGAAGTCTTGTATTATTTTCCCAAGCCACTAAAGATACAATACAATGTTTTACTAGAAAATCAGCAACTTTTTTGTATTCGCAGTCATTTCTCTTAGAAAATAGCTCTGTGGTATTTTATTACAGACCGATTGAGAGAGACAATGGAATATTCATTAAATTTTAGGAAAACCCAGTCTTCAAGTTTTTTCTTATTATTTCCCCCCCAGCCTAATCTAATTTCTTAACCAGCTTAGGATCGTTACATTCCTTACATTATTATTTCACAGTGGGTCTAGGTGACTTCCTTGATCTCTTTGGAGAATAAATTCTTTTCCCAGTAATCCCACGGCCTTCAAATGAGGAATTGTTCACCTATGGGAATGCAGGATTCAGAAGGGGGCTGAGCTTGTGCTGTCAGTGATGTATCACAACCTGCTGTCTCTCTCCTGCAATCTGAGATGCTGAGCTAGGGAGAGCTGGCATTTAAATCTCCTCAGCAATAGATCTCTCTTCTGCAGCTGGCATTGATAGCCCACCATATTTATGTGATTTCTCATGTACTTCAGTGTTTTTTCTTCATGCTGTTTTTTCTCGGTTTTGTTGTTGTTATTGACAAGTTTGATCCCAGTTTTTTTACTTTGTTTCTGGAGGGAGTTCCAGCTGGGACTGTATTGCACACTTAATGGCTGAAAGCTTGAAAGATCTCTGGTTTAACACAGAAAGAATGTAAAGGGTGTTTAACCGCAAGTCCTCTTGGAATAATTTTTCTGACTACAGTCTTCTTCTCTTCTTTCCATTTATTTGCAGGTCTCTCATGATTTTGCAATCAATTTCAATGAAGACAACCCAGAATGTGCAGGTAACACTCACGTTGGGACAGACTGATGTATTTCTGCTGTGTGCAAAATGTGTTTGTATTTTTTATTGTATCCCCTGAGTATTGTTTGAAGTGGTTTCTTAAGAAAGCAGCCAGGAGTTTCGAAACCTGACAGACTCCAAGCCAAAGCTTAGCTTTAGAAACCTTAGAAAGTGCCACACATTAATTTCCTGAATAATAGGTCCCTTTGAAAGTACACCATGTTGGACATTCAGCACTTGAACTGCTCCAAATCACTAGCATTTCTGAAAACTAAAGCCATGTTTTCTAGATTCATTCCAGACCATCAGCTACAGCAACATCATACGTTGTGCAGCTAAGAAGGGCAGGGCTTGCAAAAGCAGGCTGTGCACCTCTCTGATCACAGACTCCCTCTGTGTAGAGCCAGTTCTTTGGCCAGACCTATAGCAACAGTAGCCTGCTGCAAGTCAGCCCAGCGATGTCCAGCACCAAAGGGTCAGGGTAGCAGCTGAGGACTGCTATAATAGAAGGAAGCATACTTTCATGACAGCGAATGCAGCAAGAGGCTGTTTTTACACAGCGTAAGATACAGCGTTCTAGCAACAATCACTAATCCTTGGTAGTCAGAGGCCAGATTCATGTAGCAGATTTTGCTGTATGTCTTGTATTTGTGACGTCTGCAGTGACTGATGCTGTCTTTCTAGAACCTGCCGCAATTCACAGATTTTGTAAAAGATGAGAATAACAGGACAATAACCTCTAAACAGTCTAACAAGTAGTCCCAGACTAACACTTTATTTGAGGGTCTTGGTCAGATGATCATTGCTGTCTAAAATCCACAGGTTGTTATTCTTCCTTACCTTTTTGCTACCTTCCAAACACTGAAATGGGTGTTTCAAAATGCTCTTCCTGTTCAAATTTTCTAGCTGCCTTTTTCAGCCCTTCTCAGGCTTATTACTTCATGCATGGTCAGCAGAATATGTTCAGGATGAGAATTAAGATGCCAAGAAATGAAGTGAGGAAAAGAAGAGAGGACA